TATAATTGAAATGGTGAGGTTTCATGTAAGATTCTGGGTCCCTCTCTTCTGTATTCCTCCACCTCCTGGATAAGAAATCCCTGATCAGTAACTCCTTCTCAACAGGAAATGGTCTTTGAGCCGTGATAGGACGGCTTGTGGGTGGGTGCTAGTAATTCAGGGCACAGGTCCTAGGACCTTGGAGTTGACAGCATCAGAGCTGATTGAATTTGCTTTTCAGATAAGCAGGTTGTAAAAGTGGATTCTGACTATTGTGGGGACAGAGAAGGGGTGCTTCCTACTGAAAAGTGACCGTGGTGTCAGTGGAGGGCAGTGGGGTGGGGGCAAGAGTAAACAGCCTCTCCACTCGGCGTTATCTGTAGCAAGACCAGATCTTGTCCAGGGGCCAGATTACTCACCTCTGCTTATTCATAGTAGCAGTGTTCAGTGTGACAGTTGGATTCCTCCTGGGGGGCCAGCTCACGTTTTTTGTTTTTGTTTACCATAAATTTTATTTTTTAGAGCAGTTTTAGTTTCACAGCAAAATTGAACAGAAAGTACATGTATATCTCCTGACATACACAGCCTCTCCCACTGTCAACATCCTGCACCAGAGGGTACATTTGTTATGATCGATAAACAGACATGGCCCTTAATTATCACCCAAAGTCCATAGTTTACGTTCGGGTTCACTCTTGCTGTTGTAAACATTCTATGGGTTTAGACAGTGCGTAATGGTACGTACCCATTATTATGGTTTCATACAGAATGATCTCACTGCCTTAAAATCCTCTGTGCTCTGCCTGTTCATCCCTCCTACCCCTCTAGTCCCTGGCAACCACTGATCTTTTTAGTGTCTCCAAAGTTTTGGCTTTTTCCAGAATGTCATACGGTTAGGATCATACAATATGTATCCTTTTCAAAATAGCTTCTTTCACATAGTAATATGCATTTACTATGTCTCCATGTCTTTTTGTGCCTTGATAGCTCATGTCTTCTTAGCTCTGAATAATACTCCACATCTGAATGTACCACAGTTTATTAATCCATTTGCCTACTGGCTGCTTCTAAGTTTTGACAGTTATGAATAAAGCTGCTATAAGCATCTGTGTGCGGATTTTTGTGTGGCTATGAGTTTCCACTTCTTTGGGTAAATACCAAGGAGCCCAGTGGCAGATTGTACGGTAAATAGGTCAAGCTTTTTAAGAAAACAAGTGTCTTCCAAAATGGCTGTGCCATTTTGCATTCCCACCAGTGAATGGGAGTCCCTGTTGCTCCACAAGCTCATTGGTTCTTGGTGGTGTCAGTGCTTTACATTTTGACCATTCTAATAAGTGTGTAGTGGTATCTCGTTTTAATTTGCTATTCCCTAATGACAGTATGTTGAGAATTTGTTCATATGCTTGTTTATTCATGTGCTTGTCTGTATGTATTTTTCCGAGGTGTCTGTTCATGTGTTTTGCCCATTTTTAATCATGTCTGCTCTCATTGTTGAATGTGAAGTGTTCTTTGTGTACAGGCAGCCTCTTACTGCACTTCTCTATTATGCTTTGCTGCTTTTTTTTTTTTTTAACAGATTGAAGGTTTGTGGCAACCCTGTGTTGTCAGGTGATGGTTAGCATTTTTCAGTAATAAAGTACTTTTAAATTAAGGTATGTACATGGGTTTTTTTTTTAGACATAATGCTACCACACATTTAAGAGACTACAGTATAGTTTAAAAATAACTTTTATATGCACTAGGAACAACCACCAAAAAACTCACTTTTTTGTGAATCTCACTCTATTGCAGTGGTCTGGGACTGAATCCACAGACTCTCTGAGGTATACCTGTATTTTGGAAAACAGTCCTTTATCAGACATGTCTTGTGCAAATGCTTTCTCCCAGTCTGTGACGTGTCTTCTGATTCTCTTAACAGTGGTTTGCACACAGCAGAAAATTTTCATTTTATGAGTTTCTTTCATGGGTCATGCCTTTGGTGCTGTATCTAAAAAGTCATCACTGAGTACCCAAGGTCATCTAGATGTTTGCCTATGTTATCCTGTAGGAGTTAGATAGTTTTGCATTTTCCATTGAGGTCTGTGAACCATTTTGAGTTAGTTTTTGTGGAGAGTTTAAAGTCTGTGTCTAGATTCTTTTTCCTTTCCTTTCCTTTCCTTTCCTTCCCTTCCCTTCCTTCCCTTCCCTTCCCTTCCCTTCCCTTCCCTTTCTTCTCCTTTCCTCTCCTTTCCTCTCCTCCCCTCCCCTCCCCTCCCCTTCCCTTTTTCTGCCTGTGGGTGTCCAGTGGTTCCAGCACCGCTTTTGAAGAGACTGTCATTGCTCCATTGGTATTGTATTGCCTTTGCTCCTTTGTCAAAGATCGGTTGAATCTGACTTTCTTTTTAGGCTCCCTCTTTTGTTCAACTGATCTATTTGTCTAATTGTTTGCCGATACCACACTGCCTTGAAATATTTCTTTCTAGTAACTGTGGAAGTCAGTCCAACTCTGTTCTCCAACATTGTGTTGCTGCCAAATCTCAGCCGTACCCACCCTGAGCCTCCAGCAACCCGTCAATTACATTTTGGGTTTTTCTCCTGTGATACTGGTGCCTGTGGAAGTTTGTGTTAGTGGATTTCTGCTCCATGCAGTTATAATTCTCTGTATTTCAAGACAGCAGTTTGCCCTGTGACTTCACTCCTCTGAAGGATCTAAGAAGAGTTGTTGATTTTTCGATTTGCTCAGCTTTTTACTCGCTAGAGCGAAGTGACGACTTCCAAGCTGCTTACATCCTGGACCAGAAACCAAAATTCCTACCCACCATTTTTATTTACTAGAGCTGTTCTCAAAGTTGGAAGAGATTTGAAACACCATCCACTGCATATTTATTAGGCAATGTTTAAGGAATACCTTCCTCTCCTCAACCCTACACGTGAACACCGCCCTCTACTCTGCGGACAGGTGACTGCCAGTGATTGTGTGTTCATTCACCTTACACCGCTCCAGCGGTTAGAAAACTCTTGTTACATGTCTCTTTGGTCTTAGCTGGGCCCTTGGCTGAAGACAAGTACAAGGAGAGGAAGAGGACAGATAGGCTGTGGGTTCTTGCTGAAGGGCCAGTGGCAACCCCTTCCTACCTTGCAGTCTCCCAGAAAATGGTGGAGGTGACCAGACCACTTGGAGACGTCAGAGACCAGCACACATACTACTTTGAGCTCGTCTTCCCAGGTCAGTGAGACCACAGGGTAGAGAGGTCCCTGGGGCCACAGGGGTCCTGGAAGGGCTCCCGCAGAGAATGGAGGTGGTGGTGGGCTTTGAAGCGTCATGGGGAGCCTTGGCAGGCTCTTTGGGCTAGGGGCAGGGTTAAAAAAACAAATAAGTTAACCAAAAAGTTAGGATTGAGGGAATGTAGAGGTGAAGTGAAGCCAGTGGGATCCGGGGATCGTGGTTACAACTATGGAAGGTCTTTGGTTGAGCCTTATCCTCTCACCATCCACTGTCTGTGTTTCCGAATGCCCCTCCGGGAAATGAAAAAATCCTTAGGGACCACCTAGTTCAGGTTCTTCCCTTGCACAGATGGAGAAATGAAGCCCAGCAGGGTAGAAGGGCGGACTGAGGGTCACAGTGACTCAGTGGCAGAGCCCAAGTTTCCTGCGTCCCAGCTCCAGCCCCTGTGGAGCCTTGGAGCTGAAAGAAGCAGAATCCTGTCTCTGATGAGAGTGAGGAGATGATGAGGACCAAGCGCAGGCTCCTGTCGCCACCTCCGTTTCCCCCACAGTGTGAGCCCTGAAGTGAGCAGTGACAGCTGGTAGTATCTGCTTTCCTGGCCATTCAGTCAAGGCTGTGCTGAGGACAGGAACATACAAGGGAGCTAGGTGAGGAGGAAGGGGTGGGGCTGGGGACAGTGGGGAGCCTGGGGGGTACCTTGGGATGGGGCGGAGCTGAGCGACAAGCGCTCTCCTGCAGGGCTGTGGACCCTCGGCTCTGCCCTGCCTGCACCCCCCTTCATGTGGACTGATCAATAGGCCTCAGGGGCAGGCACTCTGTGTCCAGAACTGCCCTGTACAGCCTGGCTTCCTCACGCTCCCGTCACCCATGCTCCTCTGCCCAGCTCTTAAAATTGATTCAAAACCAAAACGTGAAAGGCCTTTCCTGTGACATACATGAGCAACTATGTGAGTGTGTGTGCCTTCACACACGTGCATTTTCCCCAGTGCTTCAGCCCTGTCATTCCCCACCTCCCATAACCGAGCCAGATGCCTTCCAAGCCCTGGGTCTTCCTCTAGTAAGTCTGGCTCCAGGGTAAAAAGGATGGGGGCTTTTACCTGTGGGAGATCACTGTTGTCCAGAGGTCCTGCCATCTATTAGCCCTCAGTCCTCTAAGAATCCTGACTGTGCCCCCATCCCAGCTTAGACTCCAGCAAGGTCATAGCAACTGTTGGCTCTACTGTAATTGCTCTCCATTCTTGAATTGTCATTGGTGCTGACAGGAGAAGCATTTATACCCTTGGTGGGTCTCCCGGCCTTCAGGCTGTCCTGAGATTGACTGGTGGTGCCTGCCAGCACGTGTTGGGGACCTTGCAGGGGAAAGATAAGATCACCAGGGAAGAGGCTAGATCGGGCTGCTGGCAGAATTAATGTGCAGACTGGGTCCTTGCTGCTCCACTGACTTACCCACACCACCTAGTATGGGCTGACCCCTAAAAGGGACTTTGGTGTTCATGTAAGTGTTGCAACTACTCTCACAGCGTGGATTCTATCAGAGTAGGAGGGTTTTGCGCTGGTGTGATTGTACAGGATGTTGCATTTGGGGGGGGGGATGTTCAGCACTCCATGTAACATTTGGTTAAAGATCACTGCTGTGTGCTAGTCCTGAGGAGTTCCTCTTGTGATGTCTCTCACACAGTCCATAAAACATCCTCAGCTCCTCCGAGCAGGAGTGGCCTTTTTTTCCCATCATATTCTGTCTTTCTCAGGCCAGAGCTAGGGAGCTGCAGTGTGACAGGTGGAGCCAGGCAAGGCTGGATTAAACATTAATGCACCTGCCACCACTGCCTGGAGGAGCAAGTGCCCCAGAGCAAGCTGCAGAGCTGTCTGGTGGCCCCAGCTCTGGAGGTGGTAACCAGTAGACATGGCTCACTTTGCCCAGATCGTGGCTGAGATCGGTGAATTTGGTCGCTTCCAGGTACAGCTGCTGATCCTGGTGAGTGTCCCCTGCTTCCTGGGTGCCTTCAACATGTTTGCCCAGGTCTTCATGGTCCTGGATGAGCCCCACCACTGTTCCGTGGCCTGGGTCAAGAACCAGACTCTCAACCTGAGCGCTGCCCAGCAGCTGGCACTGAGCGTGCCTCTGGACGCCACAGGCAGCCCCCAACGCTGCCTCATGTTCCGGCCACCCCCTGACGGCGCCAGCCTGGAGGACATCCTCAGCCACAGCTTCAATGAGACCCAGTCTTGCGAGACGGGTTGGGACTATCCTGAGGGCAGGCCCCCATCCCTAGAGAATGAGGTAAGACGGCCCTGTGGCCTGTCTGTCCGCCTGTTTTGGGTCCGTCAGCAGCTCTGCCTGTCCCTCTGCCCTCAGTCTCTCGTGTGGCTGCCTTTGCCTCTGTCCCTGCGCTCCATGCCTGAGTGGCCACTTTCCTCTTCGTCCTCTGCTTATTGGGCCCTCTATCTCTCCATCCGTTTCCTCTATCTAGGGGGTCTGCCCATTTGTCGTTCATCCCTGCCTATCCTTTTGTCTGTCCTTCTGTCTGCACGGTGATCTTTCTTTCTGTCCTCTCCTATTCTTCTGCCTTTATGCCTCTCTTTCCCTGATGTTCCCATCTGTCTTTCCATTTGCCTTTCATTCTGCCCCTGCATGTCTGCCAGCTTACCCACCTTCTGGGTTCTCCTAACCTTCTGATGCTGCCCCTTCCCTGTCCGCTCGTCTGCCTTCCTGCTTGCTTGGGTTGGGCTTTCTGCCTTTGGCCTCTCTCTCTAGATCTCTTCCTGCCTGCCTGCCTCTGAAATGCTGGAGGGCACCCGTGACTCTGGGACTCATCCTGGATGTAACTGAGCATTTGCCCGCGCCAAATCTGTTCTCTTAGGAGGGACACAGACAGGTCAATGAAGAGATTCCCACTCCAGCCACGTCAGAGCAAGAAGGGTTGCTTCCGGACAGTGGGGCCGAGCACAGAATGGGGAGATGAGTTGGCCAGGGCAACCTAAAGACTTGATGGTGGAGCTGGGACCCTCATTCTAGCACCTGCTGCCCAGTTCCCTGTGGGAATGGGAGAGAGCACAGATAGTCCAGAAACCCGAGGGGCAGGTGTTGAGGGTCTTTGCAGCTCTCACCTTTATGGTGTCAAATCCTGAGGCTTAATGGAGGGTAATCCATGAGCCCAGAGATTAAACACTCACTTTTTAATATGTGACCATAAACCTGCCCCCAGAACCCTGGCAGCCTGCCTGCTTTTTTCCTGACCCTCCCCCTCATTCCACCCCACAGGGAGAGCAGGTGACCCGTGAACTTTCCCAGCCTCTGGATCTAGCCCAGCTTAGCCCCTCCATCGTCTCCCAGTATCACCCCCATGGTAGGTTCTGGCCATCACTGGTCCTTAGATGCTCTGGAGGTTCCTATGTCTACGTGGGCTTATAACCACTCTGCTCATCTGGCCAAATATCACCATTCTTAAAGCCCAGGCAGACTTCTGGAGTGCTCTGAGCCAACTCTAGCCCTTGTTCATAGCCTCTGCTGCGCTGTTCATGGAATTATATTCAAGCAACACCCCTGAGTATTAACTCTGCAAGGAACAGTCAGAGAAGAGAGGCCCCCTGTTCACCTTCTCTGGGAACCCCTGATGGTCAGGGGATGATCTGGGCTCTTGGGGGCTAGCTGGATTCTGAGACTAGAATTTGCTTCCTCTTGGAGAGGGAATGAGCAGACAGCTCCCTGCAGGAGTTGGTATGTGAGCTGGGCACCAGGGGACCAGAAGAAGGTTGATAGAGAAGAAGGGAGGTCCTTTATAGACAGAAAATAGCAAAAGGAAGGCCGGGCAACAGAAAGCAGGCAGTCTGGGGAGTAGCAGGAATTTGGTGTGCCTGCAGTAGGGCTGCACAGGTGGGTGTGAATTGAATGAAATGATCTAAAGAATTTGGGGCCTCTCTTTTTATCCTTAATCTCCACCTTGTGCTTTCAGACTGTGCTGACCCTTGGGTTGGGCCTTGAACCTCTGGTCTTTCCCTGACATATTCCCAAAGGTGTACCCCACCAAGGACAGTGATTCCCAAGGGAATGTACATCTTTGGTACTTTGTGCCCCGAACCATATGACGGCCCCAAACTCAGCTCCAGAGTGCGGCTACCTTGGTGTGAGTTCTCCACCTTGGTTCCCAGTCCGTGAGCAGGGGCTCTGCTCCTCTTACTCCAAGGACTCCCTCTGCCCTAGCATCCCAAGTTTCCTTATAACCAGCAGCTTCGTATGCAAACTGAGCTACAAAGGATCTGAATTTGAAAAGAAAAGAGCACATTTCCTTATAGGCTGTGAAGAACAGAGTATGTTTCTTCTTTTCAGCCTACCTGCCATACACTTCCTTGGGTGCCCATTCTTGGTAAAGGAGAAAATGACTCCAGCCCACACAAACCTCTGGATAGGGAGGGAACTAGCTCATCAGTGAAGAGCAACAACAGCATGGTCTGTCCTGGGACTAAAGAAGGCAGGAATGGGAGGGAAGTAGGGGCAAAGAGAAGAACCATTTCTAGGGTCTGGAGCATGAAAATGCCTGGCATGTGTGAGCAATACTGACATACAAAAGGGGCTGGGAAGAGGCAAGAGCCAACTCTTAAGGGTCTCAGATACAGTGCTGCGGAATTTGGGCTTTCTCTCAGAGACCAGAGGGGAGCCATTGATGGTTTTGGAACAGGGGAAGGGGATGTGGTGGGGTGTGCTCCAAGAAATGGGGGTGGGGTTGTGTGGGCCACTGTGGCAGGCCCCAGACAGAAGCATCCACTGTGGGCATGAGGGCTGGGAGGTTGATGACTGGGATCCCAAGTTGGAGTCTTCTTTATCTCTGTCCCACCTGCAAGGTGACACCAGCATGTAAACTTGGGTAGATCTTGGCACCTCTCCAAGCCTCTATCTCTGTTGCAGAACAGAAGGAATGATAGGCCTTCACGAGGATGGAATGAGGATTTGATCAGATGAGGGATTTCTACAGTACAGGGCAGTGGTGAGGGCGTCCACTGAGCGGGAGTGTCCGCCTTGGAGGACTCCCTGGCCCGGCACTCAGAATGCTGCAGCCTCATGTGTCTGAACTGCCAGTGTCACCAGCTGTGAGCTTCATGGGCGCAGGGGCCAGTACACCCTCAGCTGAGCTAACATTTGCCAAGAGCTTCCTGTGTGTGACAGCACTGTGCTAAGCACATGACGTGTTAATTCCTTTAATCCTGTCGGGTGATACTGTGGAGTCTATTTTATCCCCATTTTGTACATGGGAAACCAAGACACCGATAGATCAGCTCACAAACCCAAAGCCACACAAAGTCAGTCAGTCCTGACTCCGGAGGCTGAAGGCAGCAGGCCTTTGTTTATTATTATTTATTTTAAATAATGTCTAACTACAAATGTAATCAGTGTTAACTAGACAAAAAGCAAACAGGCTAGAACTGGGCGGGACAAAGTTCATTCTCAGGGCAGTCCGTCTTTTGACACATATTTAAAGTCCTTGTAAAATTAACAGTTACCCTCAAGACAAGTAGGAGCACAACAGTATCTCCTGGACTGGTTAATTTCTTGCTAACAGTTACTTAACTGATGGTGATTGGCTAGTTGGCTAACTGAAGGTATTGCTTCATTCATTCATTTGTTCATTCATTCACTCAGGAAACTACCTTAGCTTTCCCTCAATTTCAGTCCCTGTCTAGGGCAATGGAGATGTCTGAACTCACTGCCATCCACCTGTGGGACCTGGGATTAACTGCTTGCTTAACCCCTTCTCCCATAGGGGAATATCATAAGTGTAGTTGTCAGAATTATACGAGATAATGCATGTAAAACATTCGGCATAGTCCCCAGCCCAGAGTAAGCACTCAAAAGGCATTAATGTTGTTGTGAAGCTATCTCCATGACCTCTGGAGGAGAGCCCATGTGTCGTGGTCCCCCATAAGGTTTTGTGGATGGAGCTGAGCTGTGTGCAGAGGGCACAGAGCTCCCTGAGGGGCCCACAGACCAGGATGGGGACATGTGTACAGAGTTGTGTGGACACATACTTTCTCCATTTGGTTTCCCAGTCTGTCTGTCTCTCAGATTCTCTCTGTGAGTCTCCAGGTAGGTTGTCCCTATCCCCACCTCCACCCCGTGCATGTGAGTGTGTATGCGTACGGGCGCATGTGTGCGCCTGCATGTTCCTCTGCCCTAATCTCCTTCCTCAAGGGGTGTGTGAGGGCTCCTTAGGATTCTGATTGCCCATGTATGATGGGCATTTCAGGGGGATTTTGCAGCTAGATGGGAAAAGTTAGAAAGGCCCAAGCAGGTCACAAGGGTGTCATGGTCGTGGGGAAGGGGTCCCATTTGTCAGAAAGAAACAGTGGCTGTCAGAGGTTCCCCAAACTGTGCATCCTCAGTGGTCAGTGATTTTACACAGCATCTCCAGGCCAAAAGAAATACCTTACAGTTTCAAGCATTCAGTAATTAGGTCCAAACAACTTAAGGATTTATGTCCTAACAATTCAGCAACTGTTTAAAAAAAATACACATATCAAAAGAAGACATTTTTCTTTCATTCTTAAATAGCGTTACTTCCTAACAGGATGTATTGGGAACTGCACAAAGTCTTGATCCTTGAACACTGCCGCCCTCATTTCTGTTCCACATTGAGTTTTACGTAGTGCTAGCTTTTTTCCACAGCAGCTGTCAAAAACACAACTTCACATTGTCACTGAAGAGAAGTGTGTGAACGATCCTGAGCTAGTAGTTTGATATCAAACAGATGCTGTATATTGCTCTATTTCCCTTTAAAATTCTGAGTATCGTGTTATGCACCCTGACTTTGCCCTGGTGCCCTAGTTTGGGAACCACGGGCATCTGCGCTGAGAAGTTTGTCATGGGTGGGCTGGATGATAGAGGACCTGCCCCAGCTGCCTCTAGACTGACATCAGTGTGTGTCTGCTCAGTTTAACCTGGTCTGCGGTCGGAAGCATCTGAGAGAGACCTCCCAGTCGGTGTACATGGCTGGGCTCCTCGTTGGGGCACTCATCTTCGGGCCCCTCTGCGACTGGTAAGAACCTTGACCAACTCCCCTGACCTAACATGTCTGGGCTCCTGGCATAGGCCTAGAGTCCCCCCCATGCCCCTCACACTGGTCTCCAGGTAAGGCCCTGTCCCCCCTCCCAGGGGGCTCCCAGGGGAGGGCGATGCACCCTCCCTCATACACAGTGCCCAAGCCAGGGCCGGAGGCTGGCTCCCACTTCCTCTTTTCTCTCAGAGAGATGACCTCCTCCACCTGCCCCTTTGTTACCTCAGGATTGGCCGCAAGGCCACTATCCTGGTGCAGCTGCTACTCTTGGCCATCCTTGGCCTCAGCACAGCCTTTGTGCCCAACTTTGAGCTCTACATGGCCCTGCGCTTTGCTGTCGCCACGGCCGTCTCTGGATATACCTTAAGCAGCGTCTCCCTGCGTGAGTATCCGTGCCCTAAATGCTTCCACCACAGAGCGGGGCTGTGGGGCCTGTGCTGGCCACATTCCCACACTGCCTGTGGGGCCCAGTTGGGTCCCCCTGCACCTCACATGGTGGCACTGGTGGGTCAGTACCCGATCCCCTGACTGGGTGGCATCCAAGGATGCCAGGGAGTGAGAGGGCAGGGTCTGGCCCAGCCTCAGCCTCTGCTCTCACAGTTACAGAATGGGTGGGGCCCTCGTGGAGGACTCGGTCTGTGGTCCTGGCCCAGTGTTCCTTCTCCGTGGGGCAGATGGCCCTAGCAGGACTTGCCTACAGCATCCAGAACTGGAGGCTTTTCCAGATCTCTGGCACTGCACCCATCCTACTGCTCTTCTTCTACTTCTGGTGAGATACTTCCCAGGAGCAAGCTACCCCCAGGTGGGCTATGCTGCGATGGGGTTGGAGGGAGAGGAGGCCTGTGAGGCCTGTGGGGTGGGTGTGAACTGGATTAGCAGGGAGACCCCGGTGGGTGGGGAGGCTCTGGAGTCCAGGCCCCAAGGTCACAGCCTTTTCTGACCTCCTTCCCAGGGCTCTGCCGGAATCTGCACGGTGGCTTCTGACCCAAGGGAAGGTCAGGGAGGCTAAACAACTAATCCAGAAGGTGGCCTCAGTCAACAGTCGAAAACTCTCCCCCGAGCTCCTGAGCCAGGTACTGGCAGCAGCCAGGCCAGCCTTGCCCCAACCTGACCCACGGCGACCCTCCTGCCTGGCCCCTCACTCTGTACCTTCCTCCTAGCTGGTCCCAGAGGAGACTGGCCCCGCAGGGAACGCCCTGGACCTGTTCCGACACCCACAGCTCCGGAAAGTGACCCTGATTCTCTTCTCCATCTGGTGAGTGCCCTGGGGCCCACGGCCCTCCCTGAGGCCCCAGCCAAAGGGCTGCCATGTCTCTGTGGCTGGAGGCTATCTGGGCTGGGCTGGGCTGTGTGGGAACCAGCTGGTCTCTCCCTGGCTGTGCTCCTGTCTCCTGTTACGACTTCTGGCCAAGGCAGGCTCCCCGTTTGAGTGTGTGGTGTCTCATCACCCAGCAGTGACAGGTGGTCTCGGACACTCTGTAGGTTCGTGGACAGCCTGGTGTACTACGGCCTGGGCCTCAAGGTGGGGGACTTTGGCCTGAACATCTACCTGACACAGCTAATCTTCGGAGCAGTTGAGGTGCCCGCCCGCTGCTCCAGCATCTTCATGATGGAGTGGTTCGGCCGCAAGTGGAGCCAGATGGGGACTCTGATTCTGGGTGGCCTCATGTGTATCACCATCATCTTTGTTCCAGCAGGTACCAGGACTGGCTAGCCCTGGCCCCTGGCTCACCCTCACCTGCTGCTGGAGTGAGGACTTTTCAGGAGTGAGGGCTTCTCTGGGGCTTGGGTGCAGAAGGGGTGAGGAGTTTAGGAGGACAGGGCAGGGGGCAGGAGCCAGGTGCTCGGGCTGGCTTCCCTCCACATGGCTGACCAGCGTCCCCCACAGATCTGCCCATGGTGGTCACCGTGCTGGCTGTGGTGGGGAAGTTTGCCACGGCTGCCGGATTCACTGTCTCGTACGTGTACTCAGCTGAGCTCTTCCCCACCATCATCAGGTAAGGGTTGCGGGTACAACTCCTGCTCCTCTGCCTCTGGACCCGATTTTGGTCATCCCTCCTCTGTCCTCATGGTGTTCCACAAAGAGCTTACAGAGCTGGCTCTTGGGCAGCAGTGCTGGCTGGGGTCCGGGACACGGAGAACACGAGTCCAAAGTTCCCAGCTGTCCCCAGGTCAGGTCTAGGAGGGGGTCACACCCCAGCCTTGTCAGAACTGGCATATGGAGTGAGTCCAAGGATGAATGGCTCAGAGGGAGCACTCCAGTTGGGGAGAGAGGTAGTCAGGAGGTGCAACCTTTGACCTGAGATTGGATAGGTGAGCAGGAGTGCAGTGGGCAGACAGAGAGGCCTGGAGGTGAGAGGGGCAGGGCACACAGGTGTGCTAGGAGAAGTCAGCATGCAGGAAGGCCCGGTCTGCTGCAAGAACGTGGAGAGCCTGCAGGCCTGTGGGGGCCAGATGAGGGGTCTGGGCTCTCCCAAGGAAGTGCGCTGGGGCCCAGGTGAGGCCAGATCTGCTCAGTTTGCACTGGCCTTCCCGCAGGCCATCGGGCTTGGGGCTGGTGGGCATCTTCTCGAGGATTGGGGGCATCCTTACCCCATTCGTGATCCTGCTGGACGAGTACCACTCGGCCCTCACTATGCTCATCTATGGCAGCCTCCCCATCGTGGCTGGCCTACTCTGTGCTCTGCTGCCAGAGACACGTGGCCAGACCTTGAAGGACACCATTGACGACCTGGAGCAGGGATCCTGCCCACGGTAAGCTACTTGCACTCTGAAGCCCAGGACTCATGTCAGTGGCCCCATCCCAGAAAGCTAGGCCTCTGCCTTACCATTTGTCCATTGTTCCCTAGAGGTCAATATGGTGCCCCTAGGAGTCCCTTATTTTAGGGAGACAGTGGTGAGGACACTAATTGAGACCAACTCCTGGTCAGCCAATGACAGCCTTTTGCTCCCTCCAGGTCTCTGAAGTCAGTGCCCTCAGAGAAGGAAATGGAGACCTCAGAAAATACTTCTAGCCCCGGGGTGGCCTTTGTGAGCAGCACATATCTCTGACTGTGTCTCCAAAGCCAGACCAGCAGCAGCAGAGAGCTGCCTAAATGCTTGCCTGGAAACAGCTGGACATGTGAGCAAGACCAGCCTTGCAGATGGAGGCTGCACCCCATCACCTGGCCCCAGAGCCAGCCACCCACTGCCAAGCCCAATCCCAGAAGCATCAAGGACAGCCTCCCTCCTTTCAAGACCTTTCCTATCCCTAGCTCCCCACCTCCAATACCCTGTTCTGGGTTAGGGTCTTGTGTGTGCCTTGGAGTTGACTTGTTCTCTTATACTCTTGTGGGGATGTGGCTCCTCAAATCCCCTCAATCTAGGGTCCCTCTGCCCTCAAAACACAGTCAAGCTGAGCCTGAACAGCTGGGTAGGGCCTCTCCAAGTATGTGAGAGGAGGAGGAAAAAAACACTTAGAAATGGTGGACTCTGTCCAGACAGGTGGAGGAAAAGCCATGGACGAAAAGAAGGTTGTGGTTCCTTCAGTGGCTGGACCAGGCTTGTCTGGCTGAGATGGGACCCACAGCACATTTGACCTGCTGACAGGAGACTGGCTGAGTCAAAATCAAAGCTTCAGTCTTACCTTCTCTTCAGAGATTCCCCATCACCCGCCCCACATCCAGGGACCAGTGGTGCAGAGAGAGGGACAGTTGGTTCTGTTCCTCCCCAGCGCTTCCGCTCCTGCTCTGCTGCTCTGGCTCCTGCAGTGTCCGTGCAGGGGAGGGAAGGGGCAGAGGTCTTACTTGGCCACCCCCGGTGGTAGTCCTTTCTCAGCTTGCACTGGTTAATTATCAGTGCACCAGACAGGCTCCTAGAAATTAGCTTTTCCACAGGAATATTTGACAGTTCTCAGAGATCCTTCCAGGACCTCTGCATTGCTCCTTAGTACGAGCAATGTGCTTGCCACTGACCTTCTGGGGCCCCTCTTCAGCTCCTGTCCCCTCATCTGGCTCCCCACACAGTCTCTCTTATGCTGGCCTCCCTTACCTGAGAAGACAGTCCTCTTAGGTGGGGTCCCACCAAGGTACCTCAAACCAGGCTACCTTCCCCAGTATCTACTTGGCCCGAAAGAACACTGTACGTCCTTGTGCCACCGAATGGTGGGAAAAGAGCTTGCTCAGCCACTGCCCCACCCCCCTTTGCCTGGCCTCCACAGGCATCTCCAGCCAACCTCACACTGGACAGTGGGGTTCAGTCTCTCCTTTCCACCAGTTCACCGAGTCCCAAAGAAAGTTCTTTCAAATCCTCCCTCCCTCATGCTCACCTGTTATGCAGTATGGAAGGGTGGTAGGTCTTTGTAAATCCAGTATGGAGGTGTCAACCCAGACTGAAACTGCCACGGTTTAAAAAAAAAAAACCTACATAGAATGGGGAAAAGCATTTCTCTTCTAAGATGTGGACACTCAGGGGCAGAATGATCTCCCTTCCTGGAAAGAGACTTCAGTGGCACAACTTTATTGACACAGCATAAATTCAAAGACTCACCTATTGCCTTTGAGCAGGTCTTTGGAGACTTTTTTTAGGGATTGTAGGCCATTGAGGAGACAGATTTTACTCCGCGTGTGTTCAAGAAGTACCCTTTGGCTTGTTGTGGTTAATGGGTAAATGTTTGATTTTTAGCAGTTGCTGGTGGGAGGTCAGCAGCTGAGACCCTGGACCGCAGAGGGGAAGAAAAGCAGGCCCAATCTTGACTCCACCCTGAGGAGCAGGACTGGACCGGGCAGTGGCTGTTCTCCACAGGGTGCTGGTGAACACAGAACAGCCCACGTTCGGGGACGTGCTGGCCGCGGACCCATGACCAGTGTTCCGGTTAGCTTTGCAGAGGCTCGTG